CAATGTGGTATATCTATGCGAGTACCTATTCATGTCTTATGTGTCCGTCAGTGTTAGCTTAGTTACATTTAAGTAATTCAGTGTTGTTTCATGTTAGTTAATTTGTGTTAGTTATTTTATATGTTTATGTAGTGTTAACGTAATCCAGTGCTTTATTTTTTTATTCGATATAGTTATGCAGTTCTTTGATGTTTCGATGTTTAGTATCATTTGTGTCCTAAAGGTTTCGATAGCGAATCAATTTGTTGTGACAGCCTACGAGGCTCTTTATTGTGTTAATATTTAATTGAATTAAATTCTTAAGGTTTACTTTATTTATTTTTATTCCCTTTTGATTTACTTCACTTTCTTTTTGTTTGGTTACGCCTAGAACCTGGATATTAAAGTAAATTAAGAGACGGCGTAACAATACATAGTTCTATACTGTATTGTATATGAAGGGTACATGTATTAATAAGCACAGATTATTACAGTTACATATCTGTACTAATTAATGAAAAACAAATAAACATTATTGTACTGTAGGTATCATGAATGAGTCAGTTCTTTAGACAAACAGTGAGGGGAGGGGAGTGGCACGGTCACTTTTATCCTCCAATGGATCCTTCAACCTCTTACTAGTTCACAATGAGAGATTAACCTTATAAAATGTCAATGACTTGACTTACAAGAATATAATTTGCATTGCTGAAATTCTTGTAAGATAGAGATTAATTTGAGTATAAACAACCCTTAATTTCACCATACATAATAATTTTAGTAATTAAATTAGTACATTTGAGTACATTTCCTTACTTTTACTCTCTTCACCACTAATAGGCTAGTTAGCTGCTTGGGCGATCAGTTATGTCTCTGTTATGCACTATTGGCAAATACAGGTTGTGTTAATTTATGTATACTAAGTCTCCATATGTCCTGGTTTATTCATTGATCAGTTGTCTAAGTGCAAAAATAGTCATGTAGAGCTATCATGTATCAATTAATTTTAAAATATAAATTATAATGTAAAATGTTATAAGACAATGGTTTAGTAGTGCTGTTAATGTATGTGCTGTGTAAGTGTCTTGGCATGTCACCTCACCACCTGACTCTTGAACAAGCTCTTCATCAACTTCTTCAAATCCTACAATGTGCTCGGCAAGCTCAAAACACACACACACACACGGGAATTAAGACAACAAGCATCCAGTGAGGGTCTTGTTGTGTGACTGCATGGAGGTGAATTAAAAGATCAGCTGTTGAGGACCTTATCGCTTGGCAACACTGGTGTATGTTACCACTCCATCTCTCTAATCACCCACACCCTTCCGCTTTCTCACTCCATATTTTAAAATGTTACGTAATGTTAAAGGGATACAACTTTGCTCATTTATACTTATAATTATCACAATCTCCCTAAAAATACTTAGGATTTGTGTTTATTCAAGACATCTTCAGGTCATGAGACCCACTAATCCCCACCCAAGAAAGGGTGACCTGACATTCCATCAGAAGGTCAGTAATATGAGACCATTAATCTCTCACCCTACCTCCACCTGACATTGAGTCAGGTCAGGTCCCCCCAAAAAAAAATACTTTAACTTTCATCTTTATTCAAGACATTTTCAGAATATTGTCTCGATTTTTAACCTCGGAAAATTTGTTCCCAAAGCCGACTTTGGGAATGATTTTCTGAGCAAATTTCAATTCTGGTTATCGGAGATTTCCAGATTTGAGGGATTCCGGCTAACGGAGATACAGGTATTAATGTATACTGTGCTATACTGTACAGTACAGTATCTCAAAAACTATCTGCCAGGATGGATCCGATGACTTCTGAAATGCTACATGCAACTCGTGGTGTCCCGGGAGGGTTGGTATGTAGAGCTCTGTGGCATACTGATCCTGAGTGAGAGTTGTGAACTCTTGGAACAATCTGCCAGAAAGTGTTGTGATGGCACTGAGTGTGAGCTCTTTCAAGACCAGACTTGACCAACACTGGAGCAGGGTCAGGTACATTCAGGAGCCAGTGCATGCCCAGTACTTGCCAACAGTGCATAAGAGAGAGCCAGTACAGGACTAGTACTTGCCAACAGTGCGTGGCAGAGACGTGACCGATCGCCCATGCAGCTAACGAGCTGATCAGTGGTGAAGGGGATAAAAGTAAGTAAAAAGTACTACATTTGGTAACCGAACATCATAATATTTACGCTGAAATAAATACACATTGCATTACTTATGTTAAACTATATACCAAAGTAAATCCATGTCCCAATATCTATCATCCGTGGTCTCAAAATGTTTCACACAGTGTGGAGATACTTTTTTGAGATACTGTACATACTGTAGGCTACAAATGCTAGACAGACACACTAGCAACTACAGTGAAGATGTTATTAATACCTCAAGTGAGTACAAGACCAATCTACCAGTACTGCACTAACTACTGTACATGTGACTTCTAGAAATTAGTAATTTATTATATTAGTCTAAAAATATAATATTAAATCTATCTTAGAGGATTAGTTAGGTTAATTAAACCAACATTCTAACTTATTTTAAAAATTATATTAAATGTAGTTCTGTCTTTCATAATATTAGAGTAAGAATATATGGTATAGTACTATATAGCTCTATATAAATATATTAGAGTAAGAATATATGGTATAGTACTATATAGCTCTATATAAATATATTAGAGTAAGAATATATGGTATAGTCCTATATAGCTCTATATAAATATATTAGAGTAAGAATATATGGTATAGTACTATATAGCTCTATATAAATATATTAGAGTAAGAATATATGGTATAGTACTATATAGCTCTATATAAATATATTAAAGTAAGTTATAAAATGTATAATTTAACAGTTTAACAATAACTTACTTCCATATACAGTAAGATTTCATATTTCGCGCGATTTCATTTTGTGTTTTTGAATTTTGCGAACACTACCTAATGTAACCAAGTCATATATTTGGCGTAAAATATCGTGAATTGTGCGAGATCCAGCCAGCCGAACGCTGGCCACCGTCTTGAATGACGCCATAGCCCTCATATCAGTTACAGTCATTTCTGCTACAACGCGTGTTTTGTCAACGCGAATTGGTTGAAGCGTGATTGATGTATAGGGGAACACTGTTTGTAGAACACAAACTTTTGCATACAAATGTTGGCTATAGCGCAATTTCATCCTCAACGTTTTAAGCGCGGCGTGGGGTTATGCAATGTTTACAGTTCATGTTCGACATCACATGTTCAACTGATTCGTGTCTTTTGTTTGTGAAGTGTTTTTTGAGAGGTACTCTTATAATAAAATTTTTTTTTATTTAGCTGTTACCCATAAATAATGTATGAAAAGAATAAGTAAAAAGAATCCTTCACAGTGAGGACTAATAACGGTTTACACCAGCGCTCTCTGTTTACATCATGTAATCAGTTGAATCGCGCGGTTTCTGTCAATTACTCCGCGATTTTTGCTATTTTCTCCAATTTTGTTGTGTTAGCGATGAATACGGAAAGACAAGGCAAGAAGAGTGTTTCCAAGAAATGTTCTAGTGATCGAATTGCTGGTGGTGAACGTATAAGAAGTTTAAAAGAACGCAACTATCGAGTTGTAGCCCGCGCCATCCTAGCGACCGCCCGGGCTGTTATTGTGTGCTTTTTTTGGGTGGTGCTACCACCTGTCGAGTCAAGATAATGGCCTCTACATCTACTAAGGGTCCTACTGGTGCTGGTGGGAGTGGGACAGACCCACCTTAGCAGCCAAATAAGGAAAAGGAGAAGCGGGACTATCATAAGGGAGTTAAGTTTGCCAAGTACTCGATGCAGGATAAGGATAAGCAGCGTGTAATTAAATTACTTGAGGAAGGCCTATAAACTAGTTTCCGGAAAGCACAATCAAGTCAATAAAGGCAGAATTTGTATCATTTGGAGGATATAAATGGGAAAATCAGAGGTTATTTTTCCCATCACCGGTAGTTTATGTATTTGAATTTGGTGCAATTTTTCCAGTCTATATTACTCGTGAAATACAAGATCTCACTGTAATTATCAAAGTAAGATTATACTGTACACCTGTAGTTATAAAAAGTATAACATAATTATGCCATAAACTTTTTCCAAAGATTTTTTAAGAGTAATAATACATAACTATAAGATCTATATTACACAATAACAATTTAACAATATTTCACTAAGTTAAAAAACCCAACATTTATAGTGAAATTTTGTACATACAAACAATACACAGAAATAACCAAACCAAACACCAAAATAACCCAAGTTGTTATTTTAGGTTAGTTTAGGTTGGGTTGATGGTTGTTGTATAATATTTACCTTCCTTTTTTTCTTTAGCTACTTCCATATCGAGTTTGTATGTTATAACAATCATAATATTTGCCCAAGTGAGCTCCTAAGTAGGTAGTAGGCAGCTTTTAAACAGGGAGGTGCTACCGCCTGGGAAGGTATTGGAAGCATAATGTACAGGTTGACAATCCCTGATCCGAAATCCTTGGGGCCAGAGGCATTTCGGAATTTTTCGGTTTTCAGAATGATTTTTTTTGTGTGTGTGTATTAGCCCACCGAGGCACAAGTCACTGACCCACATTGGGGCCTGGGGGGCGAAAATATAATAATAATTATAATAACAATAATAATAATTCATAGGCCTAAGTCGTGTTTCTCACTTTTTATCTTTTTTCATTCTTGTTATTTCTTTTTTATTATTATTATTATTATTATTATTATTATTATTATTATTATTATTAATAATATTATTATTATTTTATTAATACAGTATTATTATTATTTTTATTATAAATTTTATTATTATATTTTATTATTATTATTATCATTATTATTTTATTTTAGTGTATTTTTTAATTAAAATTTTTATTTACTATGAATAATTATTATTAGCCTATTATTATAATTAGTATTACTTTTTCATTTTCGCCCCCCAGGCCCAGATGTGGGTCAGTGATCTATGCCTGGGTGGGCTAATCCTGTTTAAAAAAAAAAAAAAAAAAAAAATTGCCCCACAATTTTTTTTTCGGTTTTCAGAGCTTTTCGGTTTTCGGAATTTCGGTTTAAAGGGTTGTCAACTGTACTAGTGAGTGAAGTTATGTGTTGGCAGTACTAGTGAGTATACGTAGTTATGTGTTGATAAGAGAAGCTAATACTCATACATGTGGGGTTGTAGTACTCGTATGTATGTATGTATGTATGTATGTATGTATGTATGCTGATGTGAGTATTTCCAAGATATTATGACCGCCTGCACAGTGTCATGCTCGAGGGCCATAACACTGCTGTCTGCTTCGTCTTGCTTCCCTGACAGTGGACACACCAGCATCTCCCTGTGGAATACTATGAGAGTTATGAATGATATACAGTACACCAGCCCGGACACACACACCTCTGTCACCAAGTAATTATTTCTCAACTTGATTTATCCTCTAACATGCAACTAATTCTTATTTATTCTTCAGGTCGACACACACAAAATGTAAACAAGAAGATAATTCTACAAATAATTCAAAACAAAATGTGCAACGAGAAATCAACGGTTAAATGGCAACAGTGAAATGATAAAAAAAAATGTAAAAAAAAAGAAGATAATACAAATAAAAAAACAACTCGTGCACCAAAAAATCAACGGCCAAATGACAACAGTGAAATTATATACAAAACAGTGCAATAGTCTACTACACAATACGACCAGTTATAATATCGCCCGCCGTGCTCTACACAAACAATAAAAAGTGCCATTTGTGTGAAGATACAGTAAAGGTCAACAACTGGCATATTTGATCACTCACCTTTATTGCCCTACACACTGCTGATGATGAAGACACTTTCAAGGCAACCATTTAAATTCCTTCTCAAGTCCCTTCCCTTTCTCTCTCATCCACTTCTCAAACTCTACCTTCATGGGCTCGTCAAAGTACTCCCGCCAGCCTCCTGATTTACCTGGACAAAGAAGGTGAATTAAAATACCGGTATACGGTGGAGTCTGCATTTATGTGGTCAATTGAACCCGTGGAGGCCCAAGTAAAACGAGAAACGCGTACATGAAATAAGAGAACATATGGGATTTATTGAAATAGAGACTGAGCCGACCCCCAAACTCCACTTTTTCCGACACAATACCTAGTTGTAGTAAAAATAACATATGAATTTTATGATGGTATGCACACACAATTAACATTCAAGAGAAATACAGTCACCGGTTAATGTCCATTCAAATAATGGATTCAACTCTCATCCCCCCCCCCTCTTCCCACGCTCGCTGGCTCCTCCCTCTCTGAGAAATGTTTGGGTGAAAACAGTAAGCTTACGTTTTTAATAATAAATAATACCTCAGACAAAAGTTAGGATAATATAATTGATATTGCTGGATTCCTTGCAGACGACTTTTACTTTTATCCTCTTCGCCACTGATCGGCTTGTTAGCCGCTTGGGCGATCGGTCACGTCTCTGATTACTTTTCCTTTTCATTTATCTTCTTCACCAAAAGATCATCAGCTCACTAGCTGCCCGGGCGATCGGTCACGTCTCTGTCACGCACTCTTGGCAAATATTGGGCATGCACCGGCTCCTGAACGTACCTGAACCCGCTCCAGTGTTGGTCAAATCTTGTCTTGAAAGAGCTCACACGCAGTGCCGTCACAACACTCTCTGGTAGATTGTTCCAAGAGTTTACAACCCTCACTCGGAAAAAGTTTGCCCTTACGGTTTTCTGGACTTGCGGCTTCTTCAATCTTGAGCTGTGACCCCTTGTGGGGCGAGCGTCCTCCAGCTCCAAGTAAGGACACTCAACTGAGTAGTGCCCCCTGAGATGCTTATACAACCCAACTAGGTCCCACCTTGCCCATCTGTAGTATAAGCTTAGCAAGGTAGCTGAGGTGCCGAAGTGCAGGCACCAGTTCAAAGGAGGGCTCCTTTGAACATTTTCAACCAACTGACAGTCCCTAGCATATCTCGGGGACCAGATGGGGTGACAGTGCTCCAGATGGGGAAGCACTTCACTCCTGAAGATCATTACGAGGGACGGACCGTCTAGATATCTGAACGACCTTCTTATAAGACCAAAGAATTTATTTGCCTAATTTACCTTCTTCTCGCAATGGCCCGAGAACTTCAGCTCATTGTCAACATACACACCTTGGTCCTTCTCGCATACAGTCTCAACTAGTGCAGTTTCTTCATCCCGTTGGGACATATGATACGCCTCCTTACCGTTGGTACGCCTCAGGTGCATCCTCTTACACTTCGTGACATTGAATCCCAGCAGCCATTTCTTCGACCATTCCTGGAGCCCACAGATTTCCTTCTGCAGTTCTTCACAGTCTGCTTGGAATATTTTGAATATAAATGTCATATATTTTGCACAAAAGATAAAAATTTTGCACTTTCTAATCGAAATTCTTAAATTATATCTAAAATTTGTATGTCCAATGCAAATTTTATGATGTTTATATTCAAAATAATCACAATCTTATAAGAATTCCAGCAATGTATATTATATTCTGGCCGGGTAATTTGTATGAATTTTATGAGCTAAAACAAATATATTCAGTAAATAAACAAATTATAAATTATACTTCACCCAGACACTATCTGTCAATCAAAATACCCCACCTCCCACTCTCCCCACGCCTGCTGGGTCCCTCCCTCCCTACGAGAGAAATGTTTGGGTGAAAACAGCAGGCTTACATTTTTAATAATAAATAATACCTCAAACTAAAGTTAGGATAACATAATTGACATTGCTGGATTCCTTGCAAGACAAGGAATATTTTGAATATCAACGTCATAAATTTTGCACAAAAGATAAAATTTTTGCTCTTTCTAATCAAAATTCTTATATGAGATCTAAACTTTTTATGTCTAATGCAAATTTTATGATGTTTATATTCAAAATAATCACAATCTTCTAAGAATTCCAGCAATGTAAATTATATTCTGGCTGGGTAATTTGTATGAATTTTATCAGCTAAAACAAATATCTTCAGTAAATATAGTAAACAAATTATACTTCACCCGCGTAAATGAGCAAATTTACCGAGTAATTAAAGCATTTCAATGCTGGCAAGGCATTGCGTAAATGACCAAACGCGTTAACCAAAACCGCGAAAATCCAGACTCCACTGTAGTTGGGATCGGAGTCTGATTTCCACTGCACATATTTTTTTTTTTTGGGGGGGTGCAATTGGCACCTGAGTAATATACTGTAGTTATGACCAAGAGTAATGGAGTTATGACCAAGAGTAATGGAGTTATGACCAAGAGTAATAAAGTGATGACCAAGAGTAATATAGTTATGACCAAGAGTAATATAGTTATCACCAAGAGTAATATAATTATGACCAAGAGTAATGGAGTTATGACCAAGAGTAATAAAGTTATGACCAAGAGTAATATAGTTATGACCAAGAGCAATATAGTTATGACCAAGAGTAATGGAGTTATGACCAAGAGTAATATAGTTATGACCAAGAGTAATATAGTTATGACCAAGAGTAATATAGTTATGACCAAGAGTAATATAGTTATGACTGAGAGTAATAAACTTATGACCGAGAGTAATATAGCTATGACCAAGAGTAATGGAGTTATCACCAAGAGTAATAAAGTTATGACCAAGAGTAATATAGTTATGACTGAGAGTAATAAACTTATGACCGAGAGTGATATAGCTATGGCCAAGAGTAATAAAGTTATGACCAAGAGTAATATAGTTATGAACAAGAGTAATATAGTTATGACCAATAGTAATACAGTTATGACCAAGAGTAATATAGTTATGACCAAGAGTAATATAGCTATGACCAAGAGTAATATAGTTATGACCAAGAGTAATATAGTTATGACCAAGAGTAATATAGTTATGACCAAGAGTAATATAGTTATGACCAAGAGTAATAAAGTTATGACCAAGAGTAATACAGTTATGACCAAGAGTAATACAGTTATGACCAAGAGTAATACAGTTATGACCAAGAGTAATATAGTTATGACCAAGAGTAATATAGCTATGACCAAGAGTAATATAGTTATGACCAAGAGTAATAAAGTTATGACCAAGAGTAATATAGTTTGAACAAGAGTAATATAGCTATGACCAAGAGTAATATAGTTATGACCAAGAGTAATATAGCTATGACCAAGAGTAATATAGTTATGACCAAGAGTAATATAGTTATGACCAAGAGTAATATAGTTATGACCAAGAGTAATATAGTTATGACTGAGAGGAATAAATTTATAACCGAGAGTAATATAGCTATGACCAAGAGTAATGGAGTTATGACCAAGAGTAATAAAGTTATGACCAAGAGTAAAAAAGTTATGACCAAGAGTAATATAGTTATGACCAAGAGTAATATAGTTATGACCAAGAGTAATATAGTTATGCCCAAGTGTAATGGAGTTATGACCAAGAGTAATATAGTTATGACCATGAGTAATATAGTTATGACCAAGAGTAATATAGCTATGACCAAGAGTAATATAGCTATGACTAAGAGTAATAAAGTTATGACCAAGAGTAATATAGCTATGACCAGGAGTAATATAGTTCTGACCAAGAGTAATATAGTTATGACCAAGAGTAATATAGTTATGACCAAGAGTAATAAAGTTATGACCAAGAGTAATATAGTTATGACCAAGAGTAATATAGTTATGACCAAGAGTAATAGAGTTATGACCAAGAGTAATATAGTTATGACCAAGAGTAATATAGTTATGACCAAGAGTAATAGAGTTATGACCAAGAGTAATATAGTTATGACCAAGAGTAATAGAGCTATGACCAAGAGTAATATAGTTATGACCAAGAGTAATATAGCTGTGTTAAAAATGTACAAGTTCCCTGTTATATTGTGGGGTACGGGTTATTTGGTTCACACTCAGTATGGGATGGAAAAAGGAAACTCACAATGTGCTCTCTGTATACATATTGTATTGGATGTATAGTGCAGCTTGGTGCTGAGAAGTGGCAGCGTGGTTACAAGCGTGAAGTAGAGAGAGCTGGTTGGTGAGGATGCTCAGAGGAGGACCAGCTTGTGGGTTGCAATACTCGCCGGCGGGAGCGAGGGCCGCCAGGCAGGAGGAGGAGGAGGTGTTGCTTGCTGGTTGGTGTAGGTAGAAAGAAATAGGTCACCACGAGGTCAGGTTTTATATAGCAGGGGTAGGCGTGGCTTAATAGTTGACCTCAGTCGTGTAAGGCGGCGCTGGTTGACCTAGACCACGAGGCATACACTGGGGAATTAGCGGGGTCGGCTACTCAGCGACAAGCGTTTGTAGGGGAAGAATCCACTTCAATATTATATACTATGGCATAAGGTAAACAGATAAACAGTCCAGACAGTTACAGATATGCAGGACTGTATTCTCTGAGTGCAGTGGTTACAAAATATCATATGAGTGAATCTGTCCTCTCATAGATTTTTACACAAATTAATATTGGACCTATTTAGGCCAAGGGAGCAACAGTGATGTTATAAATTTTAACTCATTTTCTATATATTAATTCTGTTCAAATTTTTATTTTTTTTCTGAAGGTAATAGACACTAGTAGATATCAACGGATTAACAAAAAAAAAGTAGAGTAACTACTATGGCACAGTCATCCTCAGAGACAAACAGTTAGGGGGACCGGTGGTAGAAGCGGTACCGTTCTTGCCTCGCAAGCGAGATGTCACGGGTTCGATTCCCGGGCCCCCATTAGTCCCTGTTCACCTAGCCGTAAAGTAGGTACCTGGTGTAAATCGAAAGTTGCGAATTCGTATTCAGGGAGTTGTTGGAGCTTCCAATAATGAGATGACATAAACCACTGACTCTTCGGGCTTCTACGCCCTTAACTCATGAGACATAAAAGCAAGCATGAACTTAGCGTGCTTCCCTGTTGGGCGCTGTAAACGCTTCTGCGCTTCACCTTACACAAGGATGTAGGGGAGTGCCCAATAAATAATAATAATAAAAAAAAAAAAAAAAAAAAAAAAAAAGCAGTCACCCTCAGAGACAAACAGGTTATAAATAATTATACGAGTATCTTAGGTGACACAGGACAAACACAGTACGCTACTCTATATAACCTTATCACTTTTCTGACCTATGAGTCTGGTAATGTACAGTATTATAATTTGACAATCATTATCTACATTCTATAAATTATCAACTTGAGAGGGATGTACGTTAACATACATTTGACCCACATCACCAAACAGAGTGTGTGTGTGTGTTGTGTGTGTGTTGTGTGTGTATGTATGTGTGTGTGTGTGTGTGTGTGTGTGTGTGTGTGTGTGTGTGTGTGTGTGTGTGTGCAATTTTATCATAGACAATATTCAAAATTTTAAGAAATGCATCAAGTTTTCAGTACATTATACAGCAGATGCCACAGGAAAGGTTTCAAGAGGGTGGGGTAGAAGGTGTGTGGCTTACACAGTGTACAGTAATTACAGTCACTTGAACAAATCCATAGAACTACAGCAACTCTGAATTATAAATGAATATAAAGGTGTTAGGCATTAACTAAGGTTGAGGTAATTTTTGTATATAATTGCACCAGGGACAATATGAAAGCCACTCAGGTATCAGGTGAATTACTTAACATACTGTTCTTACCTTTCCTAATAAAACCTCCTTCCCTAGCATCACAAAACCCAGTTGTGGCATGTACCTCAGCGTTGACAGATGGATTTTTCTTCATGGAGTCAAAGTGCAGATGTTTCACTAGTTTGGTCAAATCTGTGGGACTCACTTTCTTTTCTGAAAATCATCATGTGTTAATTGTTTCAGAAACAACTTTTTAACACATTTTGCGAACATCACAGTACAGGTACTTAAATATGATAGCATATAAATATATATTCTCATACACTGTTCCGACCTTCAGCTACAACAACAGTCTCAGAGGGTTGATTATCATGCAACCCTTTATGAAGGCAATTTTCTGCTGGTGCTCCTTATTTGGTGAAATATTATTAATACTGTATTTATCCTGTTGAGTCTGTGAGCCACACAATAGTCTCATGGACCAGTAGTCGGACCACCCCAATTTAACAACTACAATTTCCTCGGTGTTCGAAAGAGAGGATGCGAAAATCTTCCTGCATTTGAGAACAGACGGTTTGACACAGCACTGACCCACATTGTGTTCTCATAAGAGGGTAAAACAAACAAATTGTCAAAGCTAAAGATCCATAAGAGTCCCGGCCCTGACATGGTGCATCCCAGAGTGCTAAGACGGTTGTACAACAAGCTTGCTGAGCCCTTGAAGAACTTGTTCTGTAAATGCCTGGATGAGCAAAAGGTCCCCAGTGATTGGAAAATGGCTTATGCGAGTCCTATATTCAAGAAGGGCAATCATCACTCTATGAATAATTATAGACCAGTGAGCTTGACCAGCATAGTACGTAAAGTACGAGTGAGTATTATAAGAGATGCCATGATGGAACATTTACCATGAAACAGCCTTGGAAAGATTGCCAACATGGTTTTATGACAGGGTGCTCCTGCCTAAAACATGCTCAAGGTATTGGATGTTTGGATCACAAATTCTGGAACAGGGTGGGAATATCGACAATATATACACAGATTTTGCCAAGGCTTTTGGCAGCGTACCCCATGAATGGCTGAGAAATAAACTGGAAGGTTACAGAATTCGGGGAAGTGTCCCAGCGTGGATCAGAGACTTTCTGCATGATTACAAGCATTGTGTGGTGATTAAAGGTATGAAATCGTCATGTGTATCTGTGACAAGCGAGGTACCACAGGGCAGTCTTGGGCCTGTTGTTGTTTGTTTGTTTCATAAATGACATGCCTGATGCTGTACAATCCTCCATACAAATGTTTACGATGATGCCAGGTTATTCAAAGGAATTAAGAACCAAACAGACTGTGAAGAGCTACTGAAAGATCTCTGTCAGCTTCAAGAGTGGTTGAAGAAATGGCTGCTAAGATTCAATGTCATGAAGTGTAAGAAGATGCACCTGGGCAGACCAACAGTAAGGAGGCATTCACATGACCCAACAGGTTAAAGAAACTACATTAATAGACAATGAACTGAAGCTCTCGGGCTATTCTGAGAAAGTGAATCAAGCAACTAAACTAGTAGGTCTTATAGGTAGGTCATTCAGACTGTCCATCATAATGATCTTCAAGAGTGAGGATCTTCCCTGCCTGGAGTACTGTCACCCCGTTTGGTCCCCGAGATATGCTCGGGACTCAGGTGATTGAAAATGTCCAAAGGAAGGCCACTAGACTGGTGCCTCCTCTTCGGCTATCCAGAGAGATAGAGGGCCTGCAACTGCCTACAGACGGGCAAGGGGTGACCTAATTGAGGTGTATAAACATGTCGGAGGGCACTACTCAGTCAAGTGTCCATTCCTGGAGTTAGCAGATGCCCACCCCACAATGGGTCACAGCTCAAGGTTGAAGAAGCCACAAGTCTAGAAAACTGTGAGGGCATACTTTTTCGGAGAGAGAGTTGTGAACTCTTGGAACAATCTGCCAGAGAGTTTTGTGACGGCACCGAGTGTGAGTTCTTTCAAGACAAGACTTGACCATCACTGAGCAGGTTTAGTTACATTCAGGAGGCAGTGCATGCCCAGTACTTGCCAACAGTGTGTAAAATAAATGTGACAGACAGCCCAAGTGGCTAATAAGCCGACCAGTGGCGAAAAAGATAAAAATAAAGGTACAGATGAAAATGGAGCACAATTATTGAACTAAATTGTTACATGGGGAAGATCCAGAACCAGACACAAGCTTCCTTCCCAGCTAGACCAACACTAACAAATTCAAAATGGTTCCACAACTTACCGAGGAAAGAGGCAACCTTTAGGGTGACAGCAGAAAGGTCAGCTTTGAGCTCCTCATAGGTGATGATGAGGAGGTTGTGGTGATCCTTCCGCTCCCAGGCTTCTCTAACATGACTCCAGAACGGTGACCACATAACTGTACAACAAACATTAAAGACAATTACTGTACTCAGATACAGTAAACCCTCGAAGATCCTGACTGAAAGAGGGGACCACCTGTTCGAAAAAGCCAATTGTCCGTATCTTCCGGTGAATGTTTTTTTATTTATTTATTTCTTATTTACGGGGAATAGTCCAGCCGGGCACAGGTAATCGACCCAGCAGGGGTCTAGGGGGCAAAAAAATAAAAGTAAAAAAATTAAAAAATAGAAGAGAAAAAGATTATATTAATCTACACCACAAAGATGTCGGAAAACCAACTTTTTGAAGTGAGACATTGCGTTCCGACTAATTACCCATTATCAATGAAGTCAAATAATGGTCCTACATGAATAAATCGGACTGCCAACCACTTCTCGATTATTATTTGGTGTCATAAAGTCACACAAAATTGGTAAACTTAATTGAATCTGAGTTGTGTTAGGTCAGGTTAGTACAAGCACTCGATATACTCGATTAAATTAAGTTTACCCAATTTTTGTGACTTGACCCAAATACTAGCCGAAGTGATTGGCAGTCCGATTTATTCATGTAGGACCATTATTTGACTTCATTCTGGCTACATTGGGTAATTAGTCGGACCCGATAGATTGCATGAGTATGGAAACACAGAAGTAGGCAGGTCGTTCCATGGTTTGGCTGTGTGAGGAAAGAAAGATGTACTATAATGGGTTATTCTAGTGTGACTGACATCCACAGAGAAACAGTGGGCACCGCGGGCAAGACAGGCGTTACAAGTCCTCGGCCTTGCCGGTGGTACACAGGATGCCAAATCCAGCAAACATTGCCCTTTAAAGTACCTGTAAAAGAAAGAGAGAGAGAGAGAGAGTGAAGGAACATTGTGGAAAAGAAAGGAAGATATATTATCAACTAAAGAAGGAGAGTTAATAAGATGAAATGCCTTTGATTCCACCCTATCTAACAGTTGGACAGAAGAAGAGCCACCCCAGATATGAGAGCAATACTCCAAGTTAGGACGAATGAATCCCTTATAAACTTGAAGCAACTGCTCAGGAGTGTGTAGTATCTTGTGTTATTTAGTGGGAGAATGACAAGTGACATGGTCGGTCTGGCTGGGGAGTTTATTCTCTGTTGTTGGTTGCAACGTGCTTAACACATTTCGTGTTTACACAAGCCTAAACACTTTCTGACTTTGGTAAGAAGTAACATAATATATAATGTATATATAATCAATAAAGGCAGCATATAAACTTACATATATATAACACTATTTCTCCCTTTCAAAAGAGAGCATGGCTGCTACAACTCCTAAATAAACAAAACTTACAGAATTACATATGGCAGGAAGAAAGAATAGAACACAACAAATATAACTTCCTAACTAAACAGTTTGAAAGACCTGTTCACAATTCCGATAATTAGAGGTCTAATTTAATTACAGGTCTCCTAACTCTTTTGATCTTCTAGGACTATTCCCTCCATCAAGTTTTGGGGTTTCACTTGCACTCTGTGCATCAGTGACACATCATCACTACAATCAGTTGACACAGTGGTGGATGCTGGGAAACATCATCTTTGACATCATCATCATGATGATCATCTGAAACTGTGTCGTTATCATCATGTCCTGGTGCTACATTCATCTCGTCATGTGCCTGAATGATGTGATCCACATGAACATACCTCAAGAGTTACCACATTTCACTAAACTTAGATCCATACCTTATCAATGACACCAGTTATCCACTTTGCATGTACAGTACCATAACCTTTAGGCATATTCTCTCACCCTATCATTTACCTTGAAACTCTTTCCTGGAACTCTTATCATGATGCATTTTTGTTTGAGATTGTTTCCTCTCTACAACTTCAAACAGACTTGGCTTAACTAAACTTAATCTTGTTCTTTTTTTACTTTTACTTTTATCCTCTTCGCCACTGATCGGCTTGTTAGCCGCCGAGCGTCCGGTCACGTCTTTTCCTTTATATTTTTAGAATTTGGCAAAATAATTGCATCCTGAAATGTGATTGGTAGGAGATCATCTAATTTGGAAAGTGTAATTGGTAAATACTGTGATTTATTACTATTGAATTTATCAAGTTTCTACCTCCCCATTTAATATGCTGCACAACGCATTGATGAATATGATATCAACTCTAGAAACAGATCTAGTAGTTTGAGAATTAGGGGAAGGGAAAATGTGAAGAAGAGTGAAAAGTAGAATCATCAGCGTAAGAATGGATAGAATTAGTTGCAGTGTGAAGTAAATCATTGATAAAAGAAAAGTAGGTGAAAGATCAGAACCCTGTGGGACACCACTATTGGTAGAGAAAGAGGAGAATCGATCCTCAACGACAACTGCCATGGATCGGTTCTCCAAGGAAGCTAGAAATTAGAGAAGTAGAGGAGAGAAACCATAAGAAGGAAGTTTAGAAAGCAGATCTTATACCCGTCAAATGCTTTAGAGATATCGAAGACCACGACGAACAGTTCCCCATAATCTTAAGAGGATGATCAAAGATTGGTGCAGTAGGAGAGCAGATCAGTAGATCTCGCCTGGCAAAAGCCATACTGGTGATCCGACAAAGAGAAAGGCATTCAAGGTGACGGAGAATAATGGAGTTTACGATGGTTTGAAAATCTTAGAGAGGGATAAGTTGGACGTGGAGTTGATTGCCCTTCTTCGGGATGGGCTTAACCGAGGCATGCTTCCACGAAGAAGGGAAAAGTTTGGGTTTTGGCAAAGGTAAAACAGGTGAGCAAGCACAGAGGCCAGAATGTCAGCACCCTAAATGTATAAAAACGCCAAATGAAGATATGAAAAACGCTAAAATTACACTACTATATTTTACGGTATTTTAGCTGGGAGAATTTAGGAAAAAACTTTTGTCTGAATTTTCCTCTTGTAGCCATAATTTTTTTTTTTAATAATACAGTATATACAGTACCAGAAAATGTGAGGAATAAATAAAAATATTACCAATAAATAAGTTACAAAAAAAAATACTGTACAGTATTGCCAAATCAGTAAATAAAAGCCAAATGAAAGTTTAACACAGTCGCCATATGCATACACTCCCTGCTTCACCATAGTAACAAAGACCAGCTGGGACACCAATCCCTAGCAACTCTCCCACCCCCTACACTATACACCCTCCTCCTCTCCTCACTGAACCAGTTGTATCCATCAGCTGCGTGGCAGTCGACAGCAGCCGGTTTCCATTCATGGTAACCAACACTTTTACGCAGGTGGAAGTGGTTGCCAAAATGGGGCAGGATGAAGTCAGTCTCAACAGGTTCTCCCTGCTCTAGTGACTGAACACTATGATTAGAGCCAACCTCCTCATCCTGATCATGGAATCCACTAAAATCAGACTGACTTAATTAAGGTTCTTGTAATCTTCTTATTCCTCATTATCTAGAATATCCAAACCTACTTCTCTTAGCAGAAGCAGGTTGGTCTAATCAGGGATTAGACCAACTTGGGATCTTTCAGTGTTTTACATTTAGAAATTTACTCTTCAAGGCCTTATTCCATCTAGTTTTAATTTGGATCTGCAATAATTCTTTCTTTCTCCTGCAGCTTGATTAATTTTAAAAATTTGATCATAACAAACTGCACAATTCAATGGTGAAAACCGTTTCTGCAGAAACCAGCTGCTATGAATTATGCAAGCCAAATGAGGATCTAACTTGAATCCAAGTGTGGCTCTACATCCTTCATATTACATACTAGTATGGTCCCTTGGGTCCTGGGTGAAACTACTACTACTGAATTCACCCATGACGGACATTTTCATGTATGTAATGAATGAGCTGAGCTCTCCAGACCTTGTAGCTCCTCCTCAAAACTAGTTCCCCAGGAACAGTTCCATAGTCTCCTCCATCATCTAACAGTCCAGACAACTGTCCTTAGTCTACAGTTGCACATGACTCATCTAAATTAGGAGTAACACTATGAGTCACATTGTATCATCATAATAGTACAAGGCAATTACATTGTCTCCCAAGCATAATCAATGTGACTCTTAACTGATATTTTAGTAAGTTATTTCATTAATATCTCTTATTGTTATATAAGTCACCAGTGTGACAATCATAAACAACTAACTCACTATATCATACACCTCTCCTTCTTATCTCAATTATTCTCAGCTCAATGAACTTGTTTCTTAATCAAACTAACTTCATTAGAGCATTTATATTTTGAGGATCATCAAGTTCTCTATTTATTGCCAATCAGGGTGCACAGACATCATTGCTTCAATTAATTAGCTTGAGCGATAATGCCTGAGTGAGCATTATGTCACCGAGGGTTACAGTGCTGAGCTGTTACCATAGCCTCCATTGCTAACATCGTTCACCATTACTCTAGCAAGATGTACTGGGTTGAGAATTCCACCCGAATGGTTCTCATATAACCCATACTGAGGATACAAGGTCCATCCCAACATAACTCTAGATTGCTAGTGAACGGAAGGTCAGCGGCTCTGGAAGGATCACTAAGACTAGCAGCTCGTAAAGTTTGCCCTAGAAGGGCTGAACCCGCACTGAGGACATAAATAAAATAGAGTTATGAAGATAAACCTTAACTCGCCTGCATGCTGAGAGTAATTAGAAAACCCAGGGCGGAAGCCCAAAAGTTTTAGAACGAACATGAGAAAAGAGGGAGAGAGATGGCTACATATATACATATCACATCATTTGTGACAGCCGTCCTAGGGTGCGGGCCCTCAAAACTGTGAACTAATGGAGATATTTATAAAAGGAAAATTTACTACAGTAACGATCTGCAATTAAATTTTGTGTACCTTGTTTACATGGTGACAATAGTGAGATCTACAACATGACATTAAAATTCGCATATTCGTGGATGATAATCCTGATGTACCCCAGAATATCTTTTGGGTAGTTTTAAAGTTATGCCATTTGCAGCCGACAGAGAGCCATTCGTTTTAGAGACAGTAATTTTTTACCTGTTTGTTTTGTGTGGAGGCATTAGATACAAGAAAATAAACAACAACAATACTACATCACACTTTACCTTGATCACTAAGGAAGTAGTTGAAGAACTTAAAAATCTCCGTTGTAGCAGTGTGGTGCCCACATACGATGGTGGTGGTAGTACGAGACGACGACATCACGGGTCACGCCACTAAATCATCTGCAGCTAAAAACAACAAATAAATTACCTGCAGCCACAAACAAACAAACAGAAGAAACAAAAACAGTAGTAGTAGTAGTATAGTACAGTAGTAGTAATAGTCTGTGAAATTATACACACGACCATGAATTGACAGTCGCTTAACCTTTCCAGCCACTGACCATCACCACACCAAGCACTGGACCCTGATGTACACTACCCTCTCTGTAACAAAGTGTTGGCATTCGGGCCTTCTTATTGAGCAACGGAAACTGGACAATGATTACACGAAGTTCATGAAGATCGCCTTAGTGATGTGAATGTGTGAATCTAC